TGGGCCTTTATCAGCGGGTCATACCATCAACATGGATATCACGAGCTTCTTTTTTAATATTTACTCACTAAAACCTCTTTTCACTCATGTCAATCTTGGCTGACCTCCAGCTCTTTTAACAACGGTCTCTTGGTATGGATCTTCTCTTTTAATCAGCAAACTAAATAAAAAGACTAGCATCCATACTAAATGCACTTGATGGATTTTCTTGATGGAAGGGACATTTTCTAAATAAGTGAGGCCTAAAGCTTTTGTATTCATTCATCTTTAACATCATAAATTGAACTCATTGCACCTGCTATTCTTCTATTTAACTTGGCACTTTTCATGCATCTTGATAAAAAAGTTGTGTATTAAATGAACTACTATCATACAAATGAACAACTTAAAATTTCTTAGATGACCTGAAATGAAGCTTGCTAAACATACAAGCATATCATAAATAAAAGTATGTTTTACCCATCCTCTCTCCTACATAAGGTGGGTGCTAATGAATTTCCAGAGTCAATATTTGTTGAAGCGTGTAATATTTATTAATGGCAAATGAACTCACACACCCTTCTCACCTTTGGTGAGGTTTGAACCCTGACCTTTGTCAGATGAGTTGCATGCATTTTGTATTCAGTATTTATGGATCGTCATAGGAATGAAGTTCTTACTTTTGTTCTTCAATGAATCGTGAAATGAGATTGTAGCTGGCCAGTGGTTGCAAACCAAGGCACTAAATTAAGGGGTTATTTTGACCTCTTATTCCCAATAAGTTCAATATAGAACTTATTTACAGAAGCCTGATCTTCTTCTCTTCTTATTATTGTTTCTATAAGCTGCAGCACAGTTTGAGATATTTTTCTCTTTGTTGCTCTAGTGAATAGTGCCTCTCAGATTTTTACTAAGTATGGATGTATCTACAGAGTTACCTAAGTCTTACGGCCTGTTTGTTAGCTTAATGAGCTTAATGGGACTCACAATTTATTTGGTCAGCTATACATGACTGTTTGGTAGTGGCTTAATAATATAGAAAGTGGCTTATTCAGTAAGCTTCTAGGAAGAAGATTTATGCAGAAAGCCAAGTTTTTTCCAAACCTACCCCTCCCAATTAAAAAACACGCTCCTTCCATCTATGAAAAAAACACCTGCAAACAAAAAAAAACCTTCACGATGTGTAGAGACTGATTAATTCACACAGACATATTTATCTATACAGGACTTAATGGAAAACCAACCAAACAGCCCCTTAGGCTTCTATAGTAGCAAAAAGATAAAAGATCCTTTGGCATGTGGTGATGTTGAAATATAAAGATCCTTGTATATGTGTCGAGCATGTGTTGTATATCGTAGGTTGGATCCTTCTTATATTTAAAATGAAAAAAGAAGTCCATCCTTTTTTGGTATATGAAAATGGGATTCGTGCTTGTTCATGTTTTTGTCTCTCTTTGTATGAAGCTGTTTGTTTTGCTTTATGTTTAGGTTGCATCTGGTTGGACATCAAGTTCGCAGAGCTGCTATTTCTGAAGGCATATCTTAATGAAATAAATAGATTGGTGATGATGTTGGTACGAAGTTCTCTTCCTAGTTCGTTTGATGCTGGTCTCTCTTCTGTTCCTGACCATGGGAAACAAGAAATCTTATGTGCCTGGATCCCTGGGGATGGATCATGGCAGGAACCTACTGTATCTGATGAACATCCCCAACAGGGCCAACAAAATGCTGCCCCAGTAACTCGAAACAAAAATAAGGATGATAGTTTATGCTCTCAAAACTTCTTAAGTTCTTCTCAGTTATCAACTGAAGTTAATATGTCTGAAACTTCTACACCTAATTTTGTATACAAGCGAAAGATGATTCGAAGGAATGCTGTTTTACCACTGTCTCAAAGTTCTACACCTACTCTTGTATATAAGCGGAGGAAGGTTCAGACTGTTTTTCCCGCCCAAGTTTCAACTAATACTAGGGAAAGTGATAACGGGTTTTCTACTAGTTCTGCAGCCATATCCATAACTGGCAAGGAGCAGATGGTCTCTGTTCATATTGACAATGGAATAGTGATCCCTTCTGCTCTGCTTCCAGTTGAAAGTAACAAACCATGTATTGCTTCGAAGTCTGGATCTGTTGATGGGACCTCACTTGGAGACGAGCTTGTTACTGAAGAACCCAAGTGTGAAATGCGAAAATGTTCGGACTTACGTCAGTTACGTGCAGTAAACGACAGTTGCTCATCATCAAAGTTGAATTTGGATCTTGGTTCTGCTTCCTTGAAACATCAAGTGGATGATGTTGGTGAGTGTTCGTCTTCCGGTGTACTGATTGTGGAAGGCTCGGGGAAGGATATATCAGAAACAAATTCATGCATCTCCTTTCTTCAACGCCATGGAGTGCTTCAAGGCCTTCTTTCTACCAAGACAAGTCGTTCTATGAAACCAGTGGGTGCTAACAAGAGTATTTGCTGTTTGAGGTTATGTAAAGTCTGTGGCCGGTCAACAACGACACTGGAAATGCTAATATGTGATTTTTGTGAAGAGTCATTTCATGTGTCTTGCTGCAACCCCCCATTAAAGAAGGTACCCCTTGGTGATTGGTTCTGTCATTCTTGTTTAAGAAAGAAACTTAAGAAAATGAAGGAGACAAGTTCCAGCAAATCAGCCAAGGATTATTCAGGCCCAATAGCATCTATATTAAGAGACATTGGCCCTTATAAAACAAATGTTCGTATTGGTAGAGATTTTCAAGCGGAGATTTCGGATTGGTCTGGTCCACTTACTCGGTATGTTTTTCTGGGAACTCTCATAATCATTTTAAATTCATTTGGACAGTTACTGTTGAGTATAGGAGATTCTGACTTCTGATGTTCATATTTTGTTTAGTTCATTTATCAAGGTTTATTTTTATGTTGATTAATACTCCACAATTCCAAAATGTTAGTCCTTTAGGGGTTTTAATATTATGGTCAAGAAATGCAACTGCTGCTGTAGTTATTTTGAAATTATTGTACTCTATTCCATTTTTACCCTTGCAAATCTGTTCCTTGTTGCAAATGGCATCATCCCATCTTTTGCAGCGTCCATTAATTCAAAATCAATTTGGATGGTTTAATCACTTTCTCTAGGAAACCTAGTATACAAATGCATTTGTCATCATCAAAGAGAAATGGATGTTGTATGTAGTTTTTGAAGTCGAAACATGAGTGTGTAGTTAAACATAGATTGGTTGTGTCGAAATTTGAACACTCACATTAGGTATGGTTTAATCAATGGAGTTAAAAAATATAGGATTAGGTGGTGGAACCTAAAACAAGAGGGACCCGATGTGTCTAAGTATAAAATGATCAAAGAAGAGCATTGTGATATAAAGGGATACCAATAGGGTGGACATATATGACAATGAGCAAATATTAATGAAGGAAGTGATCAGAGAAGGTAGTAGACACAAATTGAAGGGCATTTAATGGTGCAATGAGAAAGTACGAAGGGAACAATAAGAGAAACCTTGGGTAAAGCATTAGACATGTATAAGAAACTAGGGCTAGAGCATACTGAATGATTTATAAGGGAAGGGAAAGGTAGAGATCTACAATTCTACATTATGTGCATCGATGACAGAAACCAACTATTTACAGATAAAGAGATTAAACAAAGGTGGCGGGTTTATTTTTGGTGAGTTCTTTAATCAAGACGGTGAGGGGATTGTAGCACAAGTTGATACTCGTTCAGTAAGAAGTCTTAGGGGCTGTTCGGTTTGTTTTCTGTTAAGACCTGTATGGATATAGTTGTCTGTATATTAACAGATAAGTTGTTGTTCGGTTGTTGTGCTGAATAAACAGTCTGAATGTCAAAAATGACCATTTTACCCCCAGTCTTTATTTTTGTGGATCAATTTTTATTACATGAGATATCCATAACAAGAACAAGTAGATCAAATGAAACGTAAATTCAGAACATAAAGTTATTCGACTGTTGTACAATTTATAATTCAACAGTTCCCCATAGCAAACAGACTGCTGTACAATTTCTAATTCAACAATCCACAAAGGGTTTGATTTTGATATCATAAAACACAAATTCTTCTAAATTTGATGATTTTTTCTAATAATATTTCTTATAGATTGTAATTTTCAATTGATATTTGTTTTGATTTACTGATTTTTACATGTTATCTATGTTTTTTTTTACTTTTTRACATSTTTTAAAMTAATAATTATAATATTTAATTATTTGAGAAAAATATTATTTAATTAGTAACCCAAATAATTAAATAATTAAATTAAATTGAATTTCTTATTATTTTTTATAATGTTTATAGAAGGTTTTTATGATTAAAACATATTTTAGTTATGGGCTATTAATTAAAACAAACTTGCGGGAAAAGAGGGAAAGGGTAGATTTGGAATAAATGGTTGCATAAGTGGCTGAATCCATAGGACTCCCCTTTTCTGGCTGACCTGTTAGGCCATCGGCTGACCTAATAAGCCAGAAGCGAACAACAATATATGGCTGACCGAATAAGCCATACAGGCTTAACAGCCCATTAAGCCATTACCGAACAGCCCCTTACTGATAGAAGGTATGTACATAGAATTGAAGTAAGGTGAATTTGTAGGAAAAATCAATTAGGCAAGACTCGGGGATTGATAGCATTTCTATGGAAGTTCGGAAAGTGTTGTAGCCATGTTATGGCTTGCTAGGTTGTTTGACATCATTCTCGAGGCAAAATGCCTTATAGATGGTCTTGTCTACTACAATAGAGGATACGTTTAAAAATGTATAGATGGTTAGGCAATAGAATGAATATTAGAAGCTGGGTAAAGCTTAAGTCAAGGGGTTGAGACTAGGCTGTTGATATGTTTTATGTTGGAGAGATGTACAACAAAAAATGGGTCATATTTCTTGCTCTGAAGACCGATGGAGAGATAATAGGGTATTGAAAAAGCATGCATATGATCCTCACAGATTAGGAGAGGGGATAGTGATAGTATGCTAAGTGATTATGGGTTGGGTTTTGATAAAAAAGAATCTCTAAAATACATGCCAATTTGATGACGTAGCAATTCGTATGAAAACACATAAGAGTGACAAATGTTTCATCATTATATCAGACCGAGGGCCATCATTGAGAAAGGTCGTAAAGTATAATGTATGTGGCTTATGTTTTACTCTCATTATATCGCGTTGATTGATGAACTATGCAATTTGTTGGTCCTAGCTAGAGTCATGGAGAAATCTTCGGAATTAAAGTAAATGGGGGTACAATTAAGTAGGAAAATAGGAGATGTGCTAAGCGTACCGAAACATGATTTAGACAGGAACATTATCTTTTTTTATGGTGTCAATATCACACCAAACTAGTTTGGCATGCAATGCTTAATATTGTATACGTATGTGTGTATGCTGATAATGATTAAAAGAGCAAGGTTGAAGGTTGGGGTTGCAGCTCTTTTCCTATAAAAGCAGTTGTCTTCTTGAGCACCAGTTGTCTTCTCTTCGAAGATTGAAAATCAATTCTAATAAACATGGAGGCAAGGCGGGTTCTCACCAGTGATGTTGTCTTGTTAAAAAGCATGAGTTTTATTCTTGTTTGTTGCTCGTCAAGTCACTCAAAAGTTGGGTTGGTAGTTAGATGGCTTAACAACAATGTCTAGCTTCATTACTTCCCCTCATGAACTCAATTTATGCATGAAGCTCTGTAGAGGTTTACCACCAACACACTGTGCAGAAATCAATGATAACATAGGGACTGTTTACTAAAATTTGTGGGCAAGTGTTGACTAGGTTAAGAGGTCTGACTGTAATTAAGTGCTGATTGGAACTTGATATTTACCAAATATTTTGTATTAAGCACTCGTTGAGTAAAAAATACCAGTATACCCCTCTATATGGGGCAAATGAAATTGAAAATTACTGTTTATCACATATTTTGTATTAAATGCTGAGTGCAAATTATTATTTACCAAATATTTTGTATTTTTTTATGAGTTTGAGACAAATCTCATGTTATGATTCTTTTTTCTTCATTTTTATACATAAAATATTTTACTGCTACATAAAGTATTTACAAAAGTACAAACATACCTCTTTCTATCACCCCATTGTTTTCATTTTGTACCCCTCACAAGTACAAAAAGCTGAAAGTACAACTCACATAGATTATTTCCAAGCTTCAAAATCCTCTTTGAGCATGCACATTGTTCCTATCAAGTGACATAGTGCAATTGTTGTTCCTACAAAACATGATGTTGACCAAGTAATCTGCCAACGACCACCATCTGATCTTTGAGAACTAAGCCCAAAGAGGGTGTGCACTGGAAAAGGATAGACGAAGGAAAAATGACATTGTATCAGGGTACTTCAGGTTTATCCATTATAAATCAACAATGCATCAACCTTATGAATGACCGTAGACAACGTTCTCTATTTTTTCATACAATTGTATTAGGCGGTAACATCTATTTATGTTGCATAGGATAACGAGTAAGTGAAAAAATGTAGTTACAGAGGCTTGTATGGTCAGCATGTTCTGGGAGGTTTTTCATTGAGGTTCATGATTGACCTAGTGCATGCTCATCACTGAGGTTCCATTGATTATGGCTCTGGTTCGTTTGAGAAACGGGGTTGACGTTGTATAAGTAAACTGAGGAGTTAGGGGGTGCTTGGTTTGGGGGTATTATGGGGTAGAGAGTGCGAATAGGAATGATTGGTGGTGCTTGGTATGGTATGATATAATGACCACTAACCCTATAATTCCTGAGAAACATGGGGGATATCAGTGGAAGGAATGGGATCCCACATTTCGAAACACACTTATTAGATCAAAAACCCTTCCACTTTTGAAATTGCCTACCCTGTACTTGGTGAACCACCTCATGCCGTTGCTGGTCCATGGCTTTGCCGCCCCACACAATGATCATTCTATCAACCAAGCAACATCAATGCAATGACCATTTCCATTCCCTAATAGAAACCAAATCGTTTCTTGACCATGAGCTGGGAGAAGCTTACCTCAGGTTTGTGATGCTCATTTATAGCTCTAATTTGAAAGCAGTATTTTACAATGTCCAGTTGAATAATAAGCCTCGTTTTTTGCTCCATGTGATGCCTTTTATTTTCTTGTCATTCTTGTTTATGTGCCATTTTTAACAGGGTTGTATCTTGATGCAGTGATCTTGACGTTTACAGCAAACCTGTGGAACTAAGTTCATTGGAATGTGCTAGTTATCAAGTAAGATTTTCTGTTTGATCATTCTTTACTATTTTGGTTGGCACTGGTGTAGATTTGTTTCTGAGATGATGATGTGCATAATCATTGCAGGACTTGGGTTCCAGCAAACTTTCAAGACTCAGCCCTATTGGGAATTGGCTTCAATGTCGAGAAGTCGTAGATGGTGTTGATGGAACCATTTGTGGAAAATGGCGCAGGTGATTCTTTGTGTCTTTTAGTTCCTTCTTTTTGTTGTTTCTTGGTACTTTTGGGATACTGCATATAGTGCAAAGGCAATTAAAAGAGACATTTTTTTCCGAGTGCTATAATTTCTACCGAATAGTTTTTCTTTTCTCATTTATAGTTCAGGCATGGATCTGTCCTTTATAACTTTTTTAATTGCAAAGTATGTATCCTTTTTAACTACTCAGTAAGCATGGTTACTCAGCTTTTTAATATGCAATTTTTCTTGTTTCTGCCCCATGGCCCGTCCATTCATAGATCATTCTCTAATGTCATCATATTTTTTATTCAACATTCCTCAAGTTTTCTATATTTCCATTAATCAATCTTATTGAGGTTTTTGTCTTGATGAAGGGTTATGTCCAAAATACTTATTTTTTTAATATATATCCAGGGCTCCTCTCTTTGAAGTTCAAACCGATGATTGGGAGTGTTTCTGCTCTGTACTCTGGGATCCAACCCATGCTGATTGTGCTGTCCCGCAGGTATGTTTGTAATGCAACCGTTGGCAGAAAGTTTTTCCTTAGGATATCGGATGGCCAATCGGAGGTTTAGTTATCTGAACTTTATTATCTTATTGGAAGGATTGCTGGCTGAACTTGTCTTTCTTGTGCAACCCAAATCATCTAGAAGTAACAACTCTCTCATTGATATGGGTAAAATCTTAAACTTCCAATGGAGAGTTCACGGCACCTCCAAAAGGTGACTGCATATGGTGAAGCTATAGGATATCACAACCAAAACTAGATTACTATGGTCTTCCTCTCTAAATCTAAGGAACTTATGTGGTTTAATGCTGTGGAAGGCAGCTCAGGATGCTTGGTTGGTTTTCCATTAAGTTTTATATGGATAAAGTTGTTTGTGTGGATTAATCTGTCTGTATAGATTGGGAAGGTCTTTGTTTGGGAGGGTTTTTTTTGATAGATAGGAGCGTGTTTTTAATTTGGAGGGACATGTTTGGAAAAAACATGGCTTTCTGCATAAAGCTCCCCCTAGAAGCTTATTGAACAAGTCATTTTCTATATCATTAAGCCACTACCAAACAATCTTATAAAGCTGATTGAAAAAGCTGTAAGTCCCATTAAGCTCATTAAGCTGCTAACAAAATGGCCCTCAGGATCCTTTGTACCTCACATATTACCATGGCACCTTCTTAAATCAGGAAACCCCGATCGTCTCATTGCTACTTCAGCAAGGAGATAAGCACAAGATAAAGGTAACCCGGTAAGGAAATTCAACCATTCCAATTTATCTTGCCATGATGAGACAGTAGAGCAATTCATCTAGCAGAAACTGATCTCTACTGTGGATCCCCAATCTCGGGGAGCCCTTGCAGGCCTAACATCTGCTTATGTATTTGAAGCATTCGCCCTTTCTCCAACAAGTCTTTCAGCCACCTCTGTTACTCGCTTAATTTTAATGCATCATTTTGGCCAAACACATGTGAGCAACATTACTATTAACTCTGCTTGTTAAATCGACTCGGTACGCAATCACCATTTATTGCTAACTGAAAGAGGTTAGCAACCACAACCACTATCGAGGAATCAATCACATTCCTAGAAGGTTGGGTCTGTTGCACCCCCTAATCAAATGTCAATAGGGTGGTCTGCACCACACATTTTTCAAGTCTCATCTTCCAACCTTCAAATATGCATCACTGAAATTCTATTTGATTTTGTTCATAGGCTTATCATCAATTAGAGTCACATGACATGCTATCTTTCGGCCCCTCATTTGCAGTACAGATAAAAGGATAGTGGGGGGAGCAGCGTTATCAAAGGTGCGTTAGGCCTGAGGTGCAGGGTTAAGGCTACACCTTGGCAAGGCAAAGGTGAGGAGAGGCTAGGGCCTCATCACATGAGGATTGAGGTGCCGGAATCTTGAAATATGAATAGTTCTTTAGGGCATGTATTGGAAAGAAAACACTTGCTCAGTCTATCTGTTGATTCTTTCTCTTGAACAACACCAACAACTCTTCTCTCAAATAACGCCAGTGACCCTTCTTTCTAACAACAACCAACGTTATCTCGAACAACAATGATTGGAAATTACTAACAATAGTGACAACACATCGGTTCTTCTCTACTTGTTTTTTTTATTTTGTGGGCAATTCCCTCTCAGCTCTTTATTCTTTCTGTACAAACATGTTTATTTTGACTTTTTTATGTTCTAAATTCTAATTCAAAGTGGATGTTTGAATCTAAGCTGATTTACATGGATTTGATAAAAACGAGAAAAAAATAATCAATACAACAAACTAAAAAAAGATTAAGCTATTTGATTATTGGATTCAAAAGATTGATATGAGAAAATCAAAAGGAAGCCGATGAAMGGCTTTTCCTCCTGCCTAAGCTTTCATAGCCGAATACTCTCTATTGAAAACTATAATTCTTGCTTGGCCCCCTTATTGCTAACCCATTAGTATTTATAGTATCTCATACGCTTGTCTATTGATCCATTCCAAGGGCTGGGCTGATCATCTAGAATTGGGCTTGGGCTAGTGGGCCGTTCCTTATCAATGTTGTCGTCTTGAATAGCAGCCTGAAATCAGGGAACTGAGTTCGAATGGCGGTTGCATCTTCAGGGAACCGAGTTCGAATGGCGGTTGCATCTTCTCAAGGAGCTTCTTCTAGTCGTGTCTTAAATGAAGGTTGACTGCTAGGTGAAGAGGAGACTCCCTTCAATTAAGGGTTCCATCTTTCCAGAACCACATTTGTTGGGTCTGCCAATTAGAAACCATGTCGCCCAAGGTTCCTAACCACACTACGCCAAGAATCATGTCCAAGAACCCCAGATCATAGGCCAAAGCATCTATGATACAAGTAAGGGTGCGTTTGGTTTGCAGGAATGGAATGGAATTGGAGGGATTTGGATTTAAAATCCATTCCAATCCTGTGTTTGGTTTGTAGGATTGGTAGGATTTAAAATCCATGGATTCATTTAAAATCCCATGAACGATGGATTTAAGAATCCTTTAGAAAGACATGGTATTTTAGAATCCATTCCCGTGGGATTCTTTTTGCCCTAACCTACCCGTCTCCATCTTCTCCTCCATTTTCATCGCTCACCTCCGTCGCTTTCTCCCACAGTCATCTCCGTCGCCGTCGCTTCCCACCACGGTCGTCTCCGTCGCTTCCCCCCGAGGTCGTCTCCGTCGCCGTCGCTTCCCCCCGAGGTCGTCGCCGTCGCTTTCCCTCGAGGTCGTCTCCATCGCCGTGGCTTTCTCCCACCGTCGTCTCCGTCGCTTTCTCCCAGATGCGTGTCTTTTCTTCAATCTTCTCCTCCATCGTCGTGGTTCTGATGCTATATTACATGTTTAATTTGATGAACAACCAAATATACAGAGTTCAATTAGCACAAAACCATGTAATGGTCCACTTATTAAGCATATTTACTTATTTGTATCATAATTTTATGGGCTAGTAGAGTTTGTCAATTTTCAGATTGATGTAAGCATGATCAATTTATGTAATCATAATCTCAATCCAAATCCTACAAACCAAACATTGGAATGGATTTCAAATCCAATCCAAATCCTGCAAACCAAACACTGGAATGGATTTTAAATCCAATCCAATCCAAATCCCATGGAATCCAAATCCCTCCTGGGAATCCAAATCCACAGAAACATTCCTGCAAACCAAATGCACCCTAAAGGTCCCCAATTGTGTTGAGACCCCCTGACATACTTCAGAGATTAGAACTCGGGTACCATCGCCAAAACATATGCAAAGAGGGTTTGTTTGTTGAATTTCCAATCCTGAAGCCAATGCTAACTATTTCAAGATGAAGTTATGTGTTGCCCCACAATCAACCAAAATAAAGAGTATGCTCGTAATTCCCCGGCTAGTTTAAATGTCTTCAAGGACAGAGAAAAGTCTGATGTAAATCCATAGAACTCAAGGGCATTACACTCCCCATCTAAGATCGTATCATCATTTCCTTTTTTCTCAATACAACGATTGTCGCCATCCCCACCCAACTTCACGTCGTTGGCCAACAAAATCACTTGGAAATGTCCCTCTGTGCACTTATGTTGGGGGGAATATTTCTCCGCACTATTGAAATTTTGCGTCTATTTTCCCATTCTTGCTTCGTTAGATGACAAGTTCCCGAGTATTGGTTATAGGTGCGTTTTTAGTAGCATTGAAGGGTTTAGGCTGTGTCTGGCCTGTAGGGAAATTAGGCTGGTTGGACTGAAGGTAGGTTGAATTAATAGGGGTGGGATTATCTACGTTGGGCCGAATCTTGTTGAGTGTATTTCCAGGAATAATTCAGTCCACCGGTTCCGTTATTGAACGACGTGTTACCACTCGTGTTGGTTTTATCCCCATGAATGGCCGTAGCTGTTGCCACATGATGGGCAAGATCCATTGCTTTGCTGCACGTAATAGGATGGAGGGCTCTAACCCAATTTTTAATGTCAATTTGAAGACCACGAAGAAACATTCCGATCGATTGTTCTTCAGATTGATCGGGGATAAGGGCTTTGAAACTCTCTATATATTTATCAATGTCTTCTTGATACAGAGATCCCAAAGCCTCGTGCATATTATGATATTTAGTCCCACCAAATTGGGTCATCTATTTCGTTTGAAATTGCTCCTAGGTGGTGTGTGGGTGTTTGATTAGTTAGTTGGTGAACCAATTAAGGGCAGATCCATCAATACACATTTGAGTTAATTTTAGTTTCTGAGAGGGATTTTGATGAACCTGAAAATAAAGTTTGGTTTTGGTGATCCAACCTCTGGGATTGACGCTCTCAAGCATGGACGTTTCACCTTAGGCATCGAGAAAATGGGGGTTTCAAAGTGATAGTTCCTGATGAAGGAACCCAGGCCATGATCGAGATTCTTCTCACTGGAATCGTAACCCTCATTCTCCGGAGTTTTGAATGTTGATGCCTCCTCGTAAGTCTGTCGTTTGCCCTAATATTTTTGGTAATTCGTCACCAATTTCTTGAGCATCAATCCTTGACTGCAATCGTTTCCCTTGATTGTTCAATTTCCCGGCAATGGAACCAAATTGATAAAAACGAGAACAGAATAATCAATACAACAAACTAAAAACAAAGGATTAAGCTATTTGATTATCGGATTCAAAGATTGAGATGAGAAAATCAATAGGAAGCCGATGAACGGCCTTTCTCCCTGCCCAAATTCACAGCCAAATACTCTATTGAAAACTATAATTCTTTCCTACCCTCCCTATTGCTAACCAATTATTATTTATAGTATCTCATACTCCTGTCCATTGATCTATTCCAAGGACTGGGCTGATCATCTAGAATTGGGCTTGGGCTAGTTGGTCGTTCTCTATCAGGATTCATGGGCGTCATGCTACTTGGGTCAAAGCATAAGCTAGTGATGCTTTTGGCTACTAATAGGCTTTGCCTTCTAGGATACAACATTATACTTAGCCTAGCTGCAGGACAATCTTAAAGCAGATCATTTTTGCTTCTTAAGCTTGTTTTGCTGTATCT